TGTGGCCATCCGACTATGGCACTGTCCATGGGACAATCTTGGAAAATTATGACCAAACAGTATGAGTACACAATGTCATGTATCTGAAAGTTAGTACACTGCGGATTTATTGAACAATAGACTGAATACCTTATTTTCAGGTAAAACCATCTGTCACTCTTGGTGTAGATGTTCCTCCAGTAATTCAGCTTTCCAGTATTCGATGGTATCTCAAATTTAGGGAAACTCATCAAAATCACATGGTTTTCCAATGGTTTCGCAGAAATCTGTTCATAGCTCTTTGGCTCCCTTTTGGGAATATGGATACCCTTGGTTCTGGCCCGAAATACCAGTTATAGGTACTTATAACCCCATTTATAGAATGTATAATTCCCATTTATAACCGTTTATAACCAGCTATTACTAATAAATGGATACTCCTAGGCTGCGTTGCTCTCTGATGCACGCGGCCTGGGACAAGGAACTCACAAAGACGGGATCAGGATCCACGTCGTCAAAGAGATCATCATCGTCCGCCATATTCAGCGAAAGTCGCGGTGCAGTGTCGGGGGTCAGTCATGGTCAGTCGCCATTTTTGTACTACTGGACCCATGAGATTCATGAGATTGGTCATTTGTTGTAACCAATCATTAATGTGGTTTATCATCTTGGGACATACCCATGTGCTGCAGTTCAATGTTGAAATATGTTGAAATCAAGGAGATGGGTAAAGATGGTTCAACCCCTAAGGATTTGGGACGCTTCAACGGTGTCAGAACTGATGACCAAGCGTTGACTCCTGGCTGACCCATCAAGCACAGCGGATGTGGTTGCCATCTGTCGATTCTTCAGATTCATTCTGTTCCCCCTAAGATCAATGATATACTGTATATATATACATTATACATATAGTCAAATTGATTGTATGTATGTATGTATGTATGTATGCATGCATGCATGCATGCATGCATGCATGTATGTCTATCTATCTATCTATCGATCTATCTATCTATCTATCTATATGACCTTTAAAACCCTGGTTAAATGGTAAACAAACTTCAGTTGGAGGCCCTTACTTGGGGTCAGTATAAGGGGGAATAGAATTATGATAACCCAAGACAATACCTTCAACATCTACTTGGATGCCGCTGCTGTGGGCCAAATGCCTGCCAGAAAATCAAAGAACATGGTTAGTGACAAACAATTCAATGGCAACTACACCCTCTGGTAATTTCACAAATAAACCTATATTCATCCATCAAACATTGTGATTTCCAATGGCTATGTTAAATTTCCAGAGGGTACTGACAGAGTATTATTTCAGTATCTTTCATTGTGTCTGTTAATTTCATCGGGGCAACGGCTATCCCAGCCACCAAATAATCTCGCACCCGAACATGCTAACTCTTCAAACAGCAAGTCATGCGAAAGATGATGCGAAGGCGGCCCTAGAATCAAAACCTACCATCTTCGGAACATCCATCAACATCACCAGTTCTTTCCCATCTGTTAAGCATTTCTTCTAATATGAATTCATCAACATTTATGACCAAACAGACCACATGTTTTTTGTTTGGAAAGCAAACATTTGGGTTTGTCTGAAAATGTTGGGTTAATCTTCCCAATGAAATAGCCATTTAAAAACGGGATAATGATCAGCAAAACCATTGGGAAAAAGGGGGTTTTCCCAACATTTTCAGACACACCCAGATGTTAGTGGCTACTAATGATTAATGGTGGTTAATAGTGATTAATGGTGGTTAACCACTAACATTTTCCTACCAAAAACCATGGAGCAGTGCACGGTGCACGGAAGATTTAACCGTGGCCAAGGAACAGAGTACAGAGAGACCTTGGTGAAAAAGCCGTTGTGGGATTTGTGAATTGGTTCTGCAATATAAATATAGATATACATAGACACAATATGTAGATATATATAAAGTATATCACATGTATATATCATATATATATGTATATTATATATATATATGGGTAAAGTATAATATTCCACTAACCTGAAATGTTGTGCCATTTTGGGATGATTCCCTGAAAAATAACCATGATTCCAGTGAGGGAGAACAGTGAGATCGTTATAATTTACCCATATATATATACATACACAATATACGTAGATATAAAGTATATCAGTATATCATATCTATCTATTTTTTCTATCTGTCTGTCTATTTCTCTATCTGTTGATGGATCTAATCTAACCTAATCCAATCTACTCTAGTCTAATCTAATCTAATCTAATAATGTACCTATCTGGTACATGTATATATATACATATCTATCTATAACAGTCCGCACATGCGAATACATATATATATACACACATATATATATATATATACTGTAATTATCAACAAACTATATTTTGAAGTTATTGGTTTTCCAAAACTCCCGTAGCCACCAGCCTCTCTGGCTGGTTTGTCTATCGGCTAGCCCAAAATCTCTCAGACTCTGGCTCATTTTCCATGAGTTGATAGCCACTAAATCCACACTTCCTTGAAACAATACCCTCTGGTAAACATACAAAAAACAATGGAAAATCACCATTTTTAGTGGGTAAATATGGGTAAATCAACTATCTCGATTGGGCCATTTTCAATAGCTATGTTAGTTTACCAGAGGGTATCTCACGTTGTTGGCTAAATATCCTACTGTGGATCCATGGTGGTTGTTTTATACCACTGCCCTTGTAGTTGGTGAAATGCCACGGTTTTCCCCCAGCTTCCCTCGCAGCTATGACTCAAAATATCTCATAAACATTCATAAACCCCTAAAGTGGATGATTTAAAACAAAAAAAACATGTTTCGACTGAAAATAGGGTAAATCAATCATTTTCCCCATTAGAGCCACTTTTTGGGGTTTTCCCGGTATACCATCCTACAGTAGATGCTATTTTCCCTATTTCCAGACACGAAAAACGACCAATTTGATGTGCCCAGTTCTCTCTGATGTCCTCCATTTGACAAGACTTCTCACCCCTTTGTGGCCCATGTTACTGTACCTTGAACAACCATGTGTTGATAATTACAGTATGACAATAACTTCACTACAAATGGGTTAATAATGGCTGTTGATAATTCCATAGAATCACTACAATCACCTCTTTTTCTGTGCCTCGTTTGACAAACATAACATACAGAGGGAACATAACAAAAACAAACGTGTACTTTGCTTCGAGTAAGTCCTGAAAAAAGTGGCGAAGATTCTGACGTTTTATCGGACATTTTACTCTGACATTCGATCTGACATACGTTTGTACATTTTTATCTGGGATAGTATTTGGATATGGCGAGCCTGTATTATAAAATCCACGTAAATCACGGTAACATCACTCTAAAAGTCCACTAGCTTCCATGAAATTCCATGAAATCCCACTTAAATCCCCAATTAGATCACTATAAAATCCATAATTTCCATGGGATCCCGATATTTTCCCCATCTTCAACTCCCAGTATTTTTGTTCCCAGTTGCTCGCCAAATGCTTGCGCCATCCGCCGCCTTCAGGGAAGTGGCCACCGGCACTGCATTGGTGTGGGCGGCAAAGGAGAACCTGCGGGCTTCGGAGATTCGCAGCAAGGATTCGCAGCAGGGATCTGATGGGAATAATTGGGATTTACATGGCTACAAGGTCATTTAATGATGATATGGGGATTTAAGCAGCAATCATAGAGGTTTAGTTCTAAGAACTATGGGATTGGATTACGGGCCGGGATTTCATGGAAGAAAGGAAACAATGGTTATTCTTGATGGGATTTCACTCGCGGTTTCGAAGTTCGGAGGTTATTGATGGTGATTTTATGGTGATTTTCCAGTGATTTCATGGGGATTTCATGCTTTACAGATTGGTTTGGTACTTGGGGGTCTAGTGATGAGGGTTTCAGTGACAATCATAGAGGTTTAATGGTGAGGCCCCCTAGATAGCTGAATTGGTTGATAAACCATAGTTTACTGCAACCCTTGAAATATGAATATATTCCAAGGTCATTGGTTTAGAACCCTTGAAATAGTTTAATACTAGGTGTAAACCCATGGATACTTGAAATGGTTTAATACTAGTTATAAATTTGGTTTATCTATGGTTTAGTAGTATAACTGCGGCTGCGGTTTATAAAACCATGAACCAACTTAGCTAGGGGCCTCACATTGTAAAAGCGGAGGTCGTTGATAGAGGTTCCAGTGGGAAAACCATCAATTTCTAGTGATCCAGTTAGGATTTTCTAATGGTTTTGTGGTGATTTAATGGAATTTAAATGGGTTCTATGTTGATTTCTAGCGATTCTATGGTGATTTGCAATACTCTATAGGAATTGATAATGATTTAGGGTAATTTATTAAAGTATGGTGAATTCATGTTGCTTTAATTGTAGATAGTTAAAATGATTGACAATGACTTTTATGATAGTCATTCATTTATAGATATTTATAATGATTTATAGTCATTTGTAATGATGTAATATAATCTATAGTATGTTTTAATATAGCTATAGTAGTCTGAAGTAATTGACCATGATTTACAAGGCGATTTATAGGAAACTAAAGTTATTCATATTGATTCATGGTGACTGTCAAAACTCTAATGTTATGTATATAATCAATTATATATATCTCTCTCTCTTTTATGGCGATGATTGAAGAAATTACATTGGTTTATAGTGATGCATGGCAATTTATAGTGATCTACAATAAGTGATTATCTATCTATCTATCTGTCTATCTATCTATCTATCGGTCTATCGATCTATCTATCTATCTATCTATATCTCTGTCTATCTATCTATCTATCCTAATCTAATCTAATCTAATCTATCTACCTATCTATCTATATATATATATACGTATATATATATATATACGTATATATATATATATACATGTGTATATATATATATACATATATGTGCGTGTGTGTGTGTGTCTCTCTCTCTCTCGGACATGGAAGTATTTTACGCTAAGTTGTGTTCTGGGTAAATTACCATAAATAAACCTGAAATATGTGACATTGTTTGAAATGTTTCCGCTTGCAAGCCAACATTCCTTAATGGTGAGGTCGCTCTACTTTGCTATGTATTCTTGTTTTTGTTCTGGCAAGAAAACAACCATCATCATCATCACCATCATCATCATCATCATCGTCATCGTCATCGTCATCGTCGTCGTTGTCGTCGTTGTCGTCATAGTCGTCGTAGTCGTCGTAGTCGTCGCCGTCGTCATAGTCATCATCATCATCGTCGTCGTCGTCATCATCATAATCATCATCATTATCATCAATGATGTACTGTATATTTAGCATATATGTATACTTTATACATATGTAAATATGCATTCAGCATTCAAGGACATATTGATTATGATTCATGTAAAATCATGCGTTCAACCACCACCACCAAGAAACAGGGCGATGCTGAAGGACTGAAGCATGGCGTACCTTGGGAAGCCCACAGCGGGATAACTGGGAGACATCACATGACATGATCCAAAAAGTGGTGCGTTTGAAGAATGGAACATAACATATGTGAAAATATGATTATAATTATATATACCCCTCAAACGGTTTATAATTCTTAGTTGTCAACATATGCGAAAATGATGATCAACGGATACAGGGATAACCTAGGAAAGAAACAGACTCATATGGAAGGGGTATAAAAGGCAAACAATCAATCACTACCATATTGTAGTGAACTGCACAACTGCTGGCTACTACACTATCATTGTGATAATATGGAATAGAATAAACTTCAATTGTGACGGAAGAGTAATCACTGCAGTTGGTCACAACCTGGGGAAAATGATGATCGACCATCGAATTCTGTGGTTTTCACCCAAATGTTAAGGTCCAAATCCAAACCTAGTTTAATGTTCATGATAACTCATATCATACTTGGAAAATATCATGTTTGATCATGTTTGCAAATAGACGTCTCAGTTTCTAGTAACTCTAATCCTCAAATCTTGTTGCTGAAATATCCTTCATTTGGTCTTGGCTAGTTATGCCCACGGCCAAACTTGGCCTGACGCACCCTTCAGAAAGTTTCTATTTTCTGTCGTGAGATGATAATGCTCTTACCGAATGCCAAGAATTGCAGCTTCTATCCATTGAATAACTTATTCATTCATAAGCAACCCCATTATCACCAGGGTTACCATGATTTACCGTGTGGCTTCTCTTGGATACAATCTATTTTCCATTCACAACACAACAAAAATCAGTCACTAACCTACCCTAAATCAAGAGATATAAATGGTTTACCAGAAAGTTACTGTAACAATAGAAGTATCAAATCCAACATGAATAACTAAACTAAACAGGCATCAACCTACAGTATTAAAAAAAGGATCTAAGAACTGATTTCCAAGGTTGAGATTTCACGAGATTTCCCATCATATTCCTGAATCTATCGTTGTTTTCCACTAAGTCACTAATAGTTTTGATGGATACTTAGTTTTCAATAGGACAAATATGGAATCACAATTTGCACGCTTAGTTTCACCCCACAGAGTCTGAAACTACTTGCTGGTTTCGACCCCCGTGAGAAATATGAGAAATACACTTGTAATTCGGGATTAGATATCGAGGTAGGATGAAACCGCGAAACTGTTTCAAACCAACACACATATGTCCAACCAAGAAACATCTAATATGAGCTGGTTGGTGGTTGACCTACCCCTGTGAAAAATGATGGACTTCGTCAGTTGGGATGATTTTCCATTCCCAACTGAATGGAAAGTCATAATCCAGCCATGTTCCAGTCACCACCAACCAGTGAGTGTCATATATTAAAAAACATGATGAATTGTCACCCGACCGCGTCCCAGGGGCGGGTCGGATTTCCACCAGACCAACTGCCAGTCGGCTTCCGGGGCCTGGAGGCTCCTGCGATCTAAGCCAGCCAAGATATGTTTGGTTTTAAGGAATACAGAGTGTTATTCTAAATGTGTAAATGCATATAGATGTAGAGATTATACTAGATATAAATTAACATATATTAGATAATACATAGATAATAAGTATAAAAAAAACTGGATATATTAGCTTATATATCATAAAAAACTGATGAATATTCGTTGTCTAATAGGTGTATATATATATATTGAAATATAAATATAAAATTATTCAACAATATAGATTGATCTGTCTATATATCATGGTATAGTTATCAGCAATACTGTATGTTTAGTAAGGATTGAATATATGTGTTATTAACAATACTGTAACACCTTAGCAATATAAGTATGTATATAAGAAAGAAAACAGATACTGGCTAAGGTGGTTTACGCAAAGAATATCCTGGTTTAGTGGGTGTATATTATTGACACAACATTCATCGGCACCAACCCGTGGGATGTTGAAAAACCATGCTATGCTGTGGTGGTTCAACCAATTAAACTGATGAATGTGCGTTGTTTCATGGGTATAAATGGATATAGTTTTGTAATGGGTATATAATGGGTATATAATGGAATATAAATGGTAGAGCTATCCAATAAGATAAATTGATCTATATAAAGCGGGAAACATAACTCCAATCGAGCCGAAAAAAAAAGGGTATGTGAATCCTGATCCCAAAAGCAAATCATGTGATTTCCAAGCGGCGGTCTTCATATTTATGTATCGGCGCTTGATTCTGAACTGTTTGAACTAGAGCTTGTTGCATCTACATCAGAGCTGCTTTCAGCTACATCATATCCGTAGAGAAAGTTTCGTTCAGCAGTTTCTTTTTCAGGGAACAGCGTCTTTTTCACAATCCCATGGGGGGGCCATTTTGAAACATGGCAGAAAAGTTTGACAGTGTTACTGGGAAAATTAACCCATCTGTGGAACAGATTGCTATCAGGTCAATGACTTGGAACGCAGCGCACATGGGATGAATGGTCTGCGGTCTCCGGGTTTTTGTGGGCAATTGGTCATTCTGACTGAAATCCTGATGTCGTTCAGAGGTCGTTCAGAGGTCGTTCAGAGGTCGTTCTGAAGTCGTTTGGGAGCCGAGAAAAATTGCTAAATAATGACCCTTGAATACACAGTAATTATACAATCTGAAAATCAGATCCCTGTCTGAATTCCCCGGAACAGGTAGGGTCCTCTGTGTTTCTAGTGGACGTGCACTTCTTGGGTGCGCCCAGGATAAATTCCTTATAAAATGGCCCTATCTCCAAACATTTTTTGTGCACGTGCATTGGTGGCACAGCACGGGGAAGAGTCTTGGGCTCGTAAAGACATGGTTCTAGAGGGAAACCGCTCAGGCTAGGGTCTCGTTGCAGAGATTACAAAGACCGTGCCAGATGCAATTTGCCAGCCCCAAAAAATGCATTTAGGGTGGTTCCGGGTGTAATTTGGCTGCTGATTTGTTCTAAATGCATCTAGACCTGTATATAAATATATGTAAATATATACTTATATAACTTATATACGTATATTTAGGAGGTCGTTCCAATGTCGTTCTGGATGTCGTTCAGAGGGTCCTTCCCCAACTAAATGGCACATTCCAAAATTACCAAAAACATCAGAAATAGCTGCGGCGGTGCCTGGAATTCTGAACGACGGATCGCACAATACTACTGTAAATCAACCCCTCTTTTTTTTTGGCTCAATTTATCTGTTGGGTAGTTTCTGGCATAATATGTATGTATGTATGTATGTATGTATATATATATAATACATATATATATATATACAATACATATATATATATATATTATACATATATATATATAATACATATATATATATATATAATTCATATATATATAATACATATATATAATATTATATAATACATATATATATATACATATGTATACATATATATATATATAATATATACATATTATAATATATTATAATGTAGTATTCGGATGTATTCTGCAGTTATAAACCAACTTATTTTCCAGAGCTGTTTGACTCCTGGGCCTGGGGCCAAGATTGGCAAAGATTGGCAAAGACATTCGCAACCACAAATCAGACGCACGCCAAGACGTTTCCGCACGCTTTTTGTGGATATGTTTTTTTTGTTCAACATTTGGAGCCCTGAAAACCACCAACATTGGTTGATATATTTCAAATTAGCCCTGAAATTTAGTTGATAATTAGCCCTGGTATAAAACTAACAACCAATTTTCAGGGCTAATTTTCAGGGCGAATTAGTTCATTATACCCCCAACATTAATTGACATCGGTTGATCCAAAAATCCCTCGAAACACGGTAAAAATCGGTCCCGATATGAGCGTAGCTGGGAGCTTTGAGGGCCACAGCCACTGCGGTGAGGCAAATGGCGAGGACACTCAGGACACCTCGCAGCTGGTCGACTCGTCGACTGCTTCGTAGAGTTTCCATTTAAGGATAGCCTCTAGAGTTAATGGTGATGAATGACTATGGTTAGTAATCATTAATGGTTAATGATGGTTAATGATGGTTAATGATGGTTAGTAGTGGTTAATGATTAATAGTGATGGTTAGTAATTAGTGGTGAATCATGGGTTATTGATGGTTATCCTCTGGTTTTTACATACCAGAAAACGAACTGGAAAGATCCACCATGCTATGAATGGGAAAACTCACGTTTTTTTCGACTGGGCCATGGTTTCTATGTCGCTTTTTGTATGTTTACCAGAGGGTACGACTGGGATATCTTGGGGGATCTTGGGGAGTGATGATGAAAATCTTCAGGAAGTCTCGCGGATAAAAACACAATGGTGCTCAACTGACATCTCTCAACCCTGCTCAACTGACATCTTCTCTCAATCCAGCAGAAATTGGGGCCCGGGTTTTCCATGGGGAAACCCCAGAAATTGAGGAACTTTTGGATCAAACCCAGGTGTTTCTCAGAGGAGAACTAATAGAACCAGCAACTCTGTCTTCAATTTCCCACACATGTTCATTCTTCCACAAGAAAAAGGTTTAAGCATAATACCTTATATATAAGAAATAGTAATGATTTGTAATTCTAGACTTATAGAATACAAGTATTTTCTCCTACCAAAACACCAAGAATGATTGCTATTCCCCCAGCTTTCGTCATTTTTCCAAGGCACAAACATGTCGCAGGGCCGAGAGATCGCGAGGTAAGGAGAGTGGCCACACCACGAGAACCGAGATGATGACCTTGGTGGAGAGTGGGGTCCAAAACAGGATTCAGTGGATAGTGGTAAACAATAAATAATAGTGGTAATCCTATAGTGGATAATAATAGTGGTTAATCCTATTTAGTGGTAAACAATAGTGGTTATAGGATTACTATCCACTAATAGTGGTGATCACCTTGGTAATCCTATAACCACTATTCAGTGGATAGTAATAGTGGTTAATAATGATCGCTAATCAAATAGTAACTTTACGCGCAAACACCCCGATTCGCCCACACCCCTTCTATGCTGTACACTTGGGGATATCAAACGTTAGACTTTACATTCAATTGGGAAGATCAACAAGGGTATTTAGGGAATATATAAATTTCCCCATCCCCGTTAAACTTTATATTCATTGAAGATCTTCAATAGGGGTTTAATTCTCCCACCCCCGTTAAACTTCTACATTCATTGAAGATCTTCAATAAGGGTTTGATGATGATGATGATGATGATGACGATGACGATGACGATGACGATGACGATGACGATGATGATGATGATGATGATGATGATGATGATGTGTAAGAGACTCGCACAGGTCCCTATGCTGTGCGTGCCGATATACAACATGAACTTGGCCATGATGCAAAAAACTCCCATTTTTACCACGTTTTCAGCACATACGAAGATGGCCGCCAACAAGCGCGGGCAAATCGAGGTGTTTGCCCGTAACTTTACCGTTACCCTCTGGTTATTTAACATAGCCATGGTATAGATGGCCCATGAAAATAGATGGTTTACTGTTCATAAAAATGGTGGATCTTTCCATGGCTATGTTAAATAACCAGATGGTAAACCTTGGGAACATGGGTGAACATCGGAAACTTGGTCTGCTTCGTGCAGTATACAGGGCTAAAAAACATGTTTGTTTACCCTGTAAAATGTACAATATCCAATTGGGGAGTATTTTGAATAATGCATTTCTGGTTGGTGGTTTCAACCCCTCTGAAAAAAATAAAAGTCAGTCAGTTGGGATTATTATTCCCAATATATGGAAAAATAAAACATGTTCCAAACCACCAACCAGATTTAATATAGATTTAAAAAATCATGGAACGGTGACCATGTCAATGCCGTCCTTCCGGATTGCTTGGTGAATGGAGATGGTTGAACAATGGAAACGCACAACTCCAGTAACTCGAAGGGGATATTCTGTAGGATATCATTAAGCAGGTTCAATGAGGAGATGCCTTTTAAAGCAGAGTGTGTATATATATGCATTATGCATATATATATACACATATATGTATATAATTAAATATATATATATATACATATCCCATTAAGAGAGTAATTACCACTGGAGATCATGCTCAGTACATTTCCGTAGCAAAATGCATCCCCTTGCTGTGGTCATTCTTAGAGGCCTGACCGCTTGTGTCCAGGCTGATTTCTGGTCAAATCCACATTTGTGTTGAATAAAACATGTTAAAACGGGTGTAAATAAAGGTAAAACACTCGTTTTCCCTGGTCAGATTCCAATATGTTTGATGATCAAACACTCCCTTACTTGCTTAAATCATATGAAATCATCTTCAATCCTTATAGAAAACTACCACTCTTTACTGGCCGCAATCCCAGTTTTGGGTGCTGCTCTTCGACCCAAAACACGTTTCCTAACGAGGCTCGATCAAGGTTTCTCTGGACAGGTTCAATTGCAGCAGGGGTGACCTCGGGTTTTCACGGTTGCGTCAGAAGCCTTGAAGCATCCTACTGAGGATGGTTACGAAATCCTGCACCAGTTGGTTACCAGTTGGTTACCAGTTGGTAACTATGAAACACTGGAAATGATGGGATAAATAAGGATAAATCATCTACCAAGTGGTGCCAGATGTGTTCCATCCACAATATTACAATAAACATAATTCAGGATCAACTTCGTAAATGGAAACAATGAAATTACATAAAAGGTAAAAGGATCCTGTTTTTTCAGATATGTTCAGATGTTAATGATTGCTGATATTTTTTTACGGATCCTGTTTGGATAAACTGTTCATATTATTCATAGTTAATTGGATGTTGTTTATTATTTAGATGATTATTACCTATCATTAAATATTTCCATTAAACATATCCAATTGGTTTTATAGATACTTCAAACATATCCTGCACGGTGGATGGGCCAGCGAAGTCCTGCACCGATACGTGGTAAACATCCCATTATTCATAGGGTTTCAACCATCCGTTTGGTGGTGCAGGATTTCGCTGGCCCATCCACAGTTTCATAGTGAATTGGATGTTATTTAGATTATCATATTTCCATTAAACAAATCCAAGAGGTTTTATAGATACCGTTAAATTAACATATCTTTGCCAATCTGCATACAATCTAAAACATTTCACCGGCCCAAAGTAACCTATATATGATTATATATGCCATGTGCTCCATGGTGCTGGAATATTTATCAACAACCACAACAAATCACCCTTAAAGTGGCATAGTAAATATACAAGCGCACCATGGAGCATCTGGTTGTGGGGACCGGTACTACCCAGATCCTCAAAACCTGACAGCTGAGAAACTGTACAATGCCGAGAAAGAAGTCCCCAATGAACATGAGGTAGCACAAAACTGCTGCAATCCTACCACGACTGATGGCCACTGGCAGATACAAATAGCATCAAAGAGATTTGTCAAACTCACCAGTTACACCACTTCGTGTTGCGAGCATCTCCTTCAAAGCTGGTTAAGCTGGATTCACATACTGGAAGCAGTCTAGCAATCTCCATTCAGTGAAGTAGTGAGAGCCCCATGCTGCATCAACCCATTGTGCACTCAGCCCTGACCAAATTCATATGTCAACCATGGGGCAAGTGAAGCAAACCATTCCATTGGCGGGATGTTTGGGGCAACCAATTTTAATCCGTACCCAAAACAACAACGAAACAACGGGGATAAAGTCGGTGAAGTTGATAATTCTTATTGAAAAATGATAAACCATGATAAAGTATGCAGTGTATGATAAAATTCATCCTTGTGCTTGGGTATACCCGATGTAGTATGTCATGACATATCCCCATTCTACATCCAGAAATTCATGGTCGAACCACTATTTTCCAGATGGCCTCCATTTTGGTAGCTTCAAAAAATGATCCGTTCTGAACAACACTTCAATGGATTGGTTTTTTTTGCGAAATTTTTACGGAAAAAACTCAATATTTCATGGGAAAAATCGATGGTTTCCGGTTAAGATTTTCCCTTAAACCAATCCATTGAACGCTTCATCTCGCAGCAGGTCCGGTCCCATACACTGCGATGACCACATCCACGGATCGGCTGGCACCGCCCGTGCGCGCAGTGCGCTTGGTGCCCGTGAGAGCGACGAGCTTCGAGAAACCTCAGGATCTGGCTGATGTTTACTGGAGATATGGATAGAAACACCAAAGGTGGGAATATAGACTTTAAAACTTTGTGCAATTAATATATGTTTCAAACATGTATTACAGCAATATATACTATATGTAGTATATATTTATATAAAATTAATCATTTTGGATCTGGCTCCCCAAAACAATGCAATTTATTGACAATTGTTGTTTATTTTGGGAAACCAATGGTTCAATGGCTGATGAAAACAAGAAATCTCTGGTGGAGCAGGTACCACCATCCTTTGGATATCCGGATCGGGTACATCTGTTTAGCAGCTCTACATGCCATACCCGAAGGCTGGCGCGGCCGCGAGGCAAAAAAAAACCAACGTCTTGGGAAGATGGATCTTTGGGCAATGAACCAACTTGGGTGGGTCAACCCACTGTAAAACAACACGGGAGATGTGAACAATGAACAACAAACAGAAGCATCATGACAAGAATTAAACGGGAAGATACTTGGATCTTGGGAGTGCAATTGCAGTTATAAGTGGATATAACCATACGGGTAGTTTTTTCGGGGTTACATTCCAACTTACGGTGGTTATTGCCATGGTTATAGGGTTATAGCTATATCCCCAACTGTAATCATCTCTCATAGCCCACAAATCATTTTTGCTGAGTTATGATACCATCTGGTTATCTAACATCGCTATGGAAAATCATCATGTTTAAGAACGGTAAACCATCTATTTCGATTAGGGCCATCGAAAAACCATGGCAAACTGTAAAGTTCCATTAAATTGTTATAAATCCCATTATTATATTACCCTCTGGTAAACTTTCACATAACTATGGAAAATCACCATTTTCAATGGGAAAATCCACTATAAATGGCCATTTTCTATAGCTATTTTGACATAACCAGAGGGTAGTTTATCCCATTGAATATCAGTTCTGTTTCGGCTGGATGTCACGTTACACCGAGCTGCTGTCTGATTCGGTATAGCGTGAACAGCTCATCAAGACCTGGACGGCGATGTGCATCTGATTGCTATCAAAGTCTCTAAAACAATCGAAACCCTAAAGACGAGATAGAAACATTGGAAAATATTATATATATATATATATGTATTATTGTATTATATTATATATATAAAAAGGACAAAGCCCTTAAGGTGCACGCGTCACATTGGTAAAGGCAGCTTTGAATGGTCGCTGTACTCGCCTTTCTGAAACAATTGGAAACCTCGAAAGTAATGGGGAAACATCAAACTAACATCCCTGGAACTATGTTTCTATTTTTTGGGGTGGCTACTTGAAGCACCCGAAAATGTACCTGTACGACGTGCATGTACGCATGTCATGTATATACATGTCCAGTAATTTACTGTAATAAACATCTGCACATAGTAATCTCAAACGCAAACTATGACTTGTGATTGTCTATCCTTGAGCCACATGGTATTTCAAGAAGAAGGCTATCCTCAGCCTCAGACAACAACTCTGTGCATTTGGGGCTAGTCAGGTACATTGTGGCGGTGTCACTGGTTGACGTCTTTCCGAAAGCTTGAATCAAGCTGAAATGTCCACTATCATCCACTATCTCTTGCATCCATGGATGGATATGGATAGATTTTTTGCCCACACTGTGATAGGGCCAAATCCAAGCAGCACCATGGATGAATTGGCCATAATTGGCCCTGGAAATCTCCATGCTGTCCATTGCTCCATGACTGACACTTTCACTATGACCATCTCCATGGACTAGGACTTAAAATTCTGTGAGCTACCCACGAAAACATGTCGTCAACAGTGACTGCAATGCCTCTATTGAGCCAATGGATGTGCCCTATCACGTGTTCATAGCTTATTGATCTTGACACATACAGAGTCGCGTCCAAGAATGGAGATTCGATTTGGGACGCGAAGCATAACAAAAAATGGGAGGCCTCGACTATGGCAACCCAGATGGAAATCCCACAAGTTTCAACGTCGGGATCGAAGGCTGGACTGAGGACCAATCATTTCTGGAACAACACAGAAAATGATGGAAAATGAACGAGTCCAGTCCTGGCATTGTCATGTTACTCAGAAGCCCCAAACTGCCACTCTTCAGAGAAACGAAACCATCTTCCGACCCAGCCCTCCGTTCCAAGGGGCAACCAAGGAAAGGTGGGCCAATACAGCGCCAAGGAAAAGCATCAGCAGACCTGGAATGATACCTGCAGGGCATGGATTGGGATCAAAGTTGGCCGGTCAAAGTGAGTTCTGATCTGGATCAGACATGTTCACAATGAGAATTAATAAGATTTTTTATCCACATTGATGAATAATACGGATTATTAATCCAGATTGATGAATAACAAGGATTATTAATCCACATTGATGAATACTAAGCATTAATCCACATTGATGAATAAGTTGAACAACTGGTATTTCATAATCAGATTTATGATAAGATTAATAAGCCACTACCAGCTGAAATTGTTGGCCACCCAGCTTCCTATGTCTGGCCATCGATGATTTCGAATTACACACACACATGGTGACGTCCCAACGTGGTGCTATCCAAGTGCTTGGGGATTGAGAATCATCATCCCAAATACATGTGAACATATGTGAAAAATATGTGAACATGTGTGAAAACATGTGAAAATAGCATCTTGGTTATACTAATGATACCAACAAAAATCAGGTGAATTCCCAGTAACATCTTGGGAAACTACCAATTCAAATCATCATCTATTCATTGATAATTCATTGAATCATAAATCATGGATAACCAAATAGCATCTATTTGAATTTGGAAGTCAACAAACATATCTTGGTGATACCCTGATACCAGTATGGCTGATGGTTCTTCCTGATATCCCCTGAAGGCAGCTTCTAACTTTCAGCCAGCTTCTACAGGATGGTGCCCCAGTGAAAAAAGCTGGTTTATGTTGGTTTATAAACCCCATTAACTATAGTTACTATAGTTTAATATCTAGGATCTAAGAACAGTTAATCCCATTAACTATAGTTATAAAAATCCCATCAACTAATTATATAGTTATATGTAAGGTCAGAGTTACCCACCACCTTCCCCTCGACACCTGCCGTCTTCAGCATGAAGGGCAGCCTCAGCAACGATGAAGGTAGGCAAGGCCGCAAAGAGCTTCGTTAACTGGGAACCCAACAATAGCCGTTGTATGGGACAGTTTGAAAATTTGACTAACCGATCGAATTTAACATCAATCATCAGTCACTTAGTATATTTCACCATCGATTTAACGTGCCTTTTTTTGGGATTTCAGCAGCCAGCTGCCTTGCATCCGCAGCGAAAGCGGTGGGCATTGTGGGTCTCTGCCCACCGGTGGCTGACCCATCCGCTGGGATGCTAGGCTCGAATTTTCTGGGGTCCCGTGGCTGTCCCCCCGTGGCTGTCCCTGGGGTCCCCTTGCGACCAGAAAACGATAAGCATCCAGCGCCCATGGCTGAAGATACCAAAGTGAAGACAGCGGCACTCTGCGATCCCTGCAGCCATGGAGAGCCCAAAGGCAGGCGTCCACCATGGAGATATGGAGATGATTCCCCGGAATTCTGGCGTCCACTTGATGACTTCAGAGTTGTGTTTTTGTGGTTTTGTATTCTTCAAATACAAGTAGTGTTGGTATTGCGCAATATCATAAACCACTCACATGAATTGATGGTTTATAATTATATGTTCATAACCACCTTAAAAAAAAATGGCAAATACGTGGATCGTTGACTAGTGCTTTACGGTTGTTAAAATAAAATCGCCCCTCAGCATACTTTGCCTACTTCTCAACAGGCAGCCTCAAACAGAGCCCCGCCCGTCGTCAACCAATGGAACAAAAAAAGGGATTCCTAAACAGCGATGCAAGCTGCAACCTATCTGAACCCTAAGCACCTTGGATGGTGTCATTGTTGTTGTTCCCAAGTTTCAAACAAATATGGTTCATTCGTTCCAACACCGGAAGTTGATAAATCGAAAAATCTTTGCCAAGCTGCTTCTTTGAACAAGGATGAGTTGCTTTGCGAAAGGCCAACCGCCCTCGGAGCCGCCAGTTGAAGTATCAATTTGGGTTGACTTTGGCTTGCGAACGGATTTGTTTTCTACCCACAACATTGGTTGTATGACTTGGGGTCATCCCAACTAACGAAGAATGCGAATCATTTTGAACATGAAGCGACAAGCCCAAGCCATGCAAAGTGGGGATGAGTGGTTTTCCATGGGTTTTCCCAAATGTGTCGATCACCAGGCGGCGTCTCGCAAATTGGCTCTAGAGCTTCCAGGTCCAAATGGCTCCTCTTGGGGTCGTCCATCCCCGGAGATCAAGTATCCCATCTGCTCCATGGCATATAAAAATCATACCCCAAACATCATAAATGTGTGATAATTTCTGTGGATAAATATACCATATACTGGTTGGTGGTGACTGAATCCCTCTGAAAAATATGAAAGTCAGTTGGGGTTACTATTTCCAATATATGGAAAAATAAAAAATGTTCCAAACCGCCAACCAGATGATATATGAATCTAGCTGAATCTAGTTCATGTCTATCACAATATGTAGTTTTGTCCATGGGGGATTTGATCTTCGATTCTGTGAAGGGGTTTGTTCAGGGGTGGATTCTCTGAACAATGCTGTGATTTGTGGATGGATTTTAAGGTCATCAATTATTAAAAAAAAACTAATCATGAATACTCCTCTAAAGTACAAGTCTCTGTTTCTGACATGGTCCAAACATCGCCAAACATCTACTCTGGTAAACGTTTACATAACTATGGAAAATCACCACCATGATTAATGTGGGTAAATCAACTACAAATCTATGGCCATGGCTTCAATAGTTGCTTGTATGTTTACCAGAGGGTATATTCCGTTGACATCCCATTGAATCACTATAAAATCCCATTAAACCACTACCAGTAGTACCGCACAAGGCGGTGGCGGAAGTTTCAGAATAGGAAACCTATAGGAGACGTTGGTTGTTGTGAATCACGGATGGCAGAGCGAATCCACTGATTGACCGAAAGGTGGTTGGAGTTGTGTTTGCTGGAGTGGTTGCAATGGTTGCAGTGGTAACCTCACCCACAACTGCTGGATGTAGTGTGATGTACTGCAACTGTAGTTGTAGTTGTAGCGTAGTGGAGTTGTAGTTGTGGTGTAATGTAATTAGTGTAGTGTAGTTGCAGTCATATAGTTGTAGCTGTAGTTGTTTTGTAGTTGTAGTTGTAGTTGTTGTAGTGTAGTTGTTGTTGTAGTTGTAGCTGTAGTTGTTGTGTGGTTGTAGTTGTTGTGTAGTGTTGTGTAGTAGTAGTAGTTGTTGTAGTTGTTGTAGTTGTTGTTGTTGTTGCTGTTGTAGTAGTAGTAGTTGTTGTTGTTGTAGCTGTAGTTGTTGTAGTTGTAGTTCTAGTTGTAGTTGTTGTGTAGTTGTAGTTGTAGTTGTTGTTGTTGCTGTTGTTGTAGTTGTTGTAGTTCTAGTTGTAGTTGTAGTTGTTGTGTAGTTGTAGTTGTAGTTGTAGTTGTTGTAGTTGTAGTTGTTGTGGTTGGTGTTGTTGGTGTTGTTGTTGTTGTTGTTGTTGTTGTTGCTGTTGCTGTTGCTGTTGTCGTCGAAGTAAGGGTAGTTAAGTTGGTGAAGTTAGTTAAGTTAGTCAAGTTAGTTAACTTAATCAGTGTCTACGTTTTCGACATCTTAACGTCAAAAAAGGCTCAAAACCCTCAGTTTTTTACACTTTTGACTTCGAAATGTGCTTCGCGCCACAACGGCGTGCACTTTTTCGACACTTTTTCGACATCTGAACCTCCAAAAGTGGTCCGAGACCGCCAGTTTTTAACACTTTTGACTTGGAAATCTGCTTCGCGCCACAACGGCGTGCACTTTTTCAACATTGCAACTTCCAAAAGTGGTCCGAACCCCTGGTGTTTTGTACATTTTGACTTCGAAATGTGCTTCGCGCCACAACGGCGTGCACTTTTTCGACATCTCAACTTCCAAAAGTGGTCTGAGACCGAGTTTTTTACACTTTTGACTTCGAAATGTGCTTCGCGCCACAACGGCGTGCACTTTTTCGACATCTCAACTTCCAAAAGTGGTCCGATCATGGTGTGTTTTGTACATTTTGACTTCGAAATGTGCTTCGCGCCACAACGGCGTGCACTTTTTCGACATCTCAACTTCCAAAAGTGGTCCGATCCTCTAGTGTTTTGTCCATTTTGACTTGGAAATGTGCTTCGCGCCACGACGGCGTGCACTTTTTCATGTCTCATCTGGCCAGCTGGCTCCGCACCCGCCGCTTTAGCGAGCCTACTTTTCGACCCTCCGGAGCCACAAATCATTGGAAAAACAGAGTGAATCGCGACTTTCCTATCTTTTCGCGCGTCTACCTCTTCTTTCTTCTGATCTTTTCTCTTCTCTCTGCCTCTTCCCTGCTCTGCGTTTCAACTGTCCATATTGTCGGAAGTTTAGCTTCTAAACTTCCTTCGATAATTAAATCCCATTGAATACCATTAATTTCTAGCCATTTCATATCCCCATTCATATCCTATTGTTTATATCGGCTCTAACGTCGAAAAATGGCCAACGCTTGTCGTCCTGCTGCATTGTTGCATGTTCTTCCGGATCAGCCGAGGGACCTCGCCAGACTAGATATCAGATGGTTGATGGTTATAAGTTATAGCTACAATCATTGAAATAATCATGATATCATATACAGTATTTATATATAATTATATTAATACAATTTATATAATACAACTATATGGTTATAATATGTGTTATTATCATTCGGAACCCTTGCATCTTTTCCAGATGCATCTTGAACTTAAAATGTGTCCCATTTGCTCTCCTTGTTTGCCTGTTTATTGGTGGAAGAAACACCAAACCTCTCTACAGCGAGTTTAAGCCAATCAGAAGAGTAAGCTGAGGCTCATTATGTCGATCCATGCCCCACTGTACTCATCAACTGTTCTACGCTGCATTAAACCATAAATTAAACACATCAATTAAACCAACATCGAGATGAAAAATCATGGGATATTCCAATATTCCAGCACTTGGATATGTTTTTTCTTGTGATCCTTGATGATCGTTGTAAAAAAAAAACACAAAAAATCATACCCCAAGGCCGCCTCAGAGGACACGGGTCTGGAAAAGTCCAGCCAGAGCCACTTCCTGGCCCAAGTCATTCCCATGGTCATCACCATGGCTGGTTTATGGCTGATTTATGGCTGGTATGTCTATGTTTATTACTATTTTTGAGTGGGAGGTTTAGATGATATATGTCTATGTTTATTACTATGTTTTGATGATGATGGCAGTTTTTCACATACCCTCTGGTGAACTAACATAGCAATGGAAAATCACCATTTTTCATAGGAAAATCCACTATAAATGGCCATTTTCCATTGCTATGTTAGTTCACCAGAGGGTATTCATCCGGTTTCTGAGACATATGCTGAAATCTCTTGGGTCAGGGTCTCAAGCATTGGCATTGGACCACCAAGTTGCCTGGCTAAGGGGTCACTTCCCTGAAAATTGCTTCAGGTATACAGGATGGGGCCCCCAAGATAGCGTTCAGTTGCCCTATAAGTGGCTGAATTCTATGGTTTATGGTAGATATAACTATAACTATAGTTAATGGGGGTTATAACGGTTTATAAACCAACTTATAGTGAGCTATGACTGGTCCTGCTGTGGTAATTTGTGAAACATACATGAAACATGTGCTCGTCATATTCGCCGTGTTTCCAGGTGAACACAGATAGGAGAAGTCGGATACAGTCGGATCATCATCCCAAATTCATTGGTTAAAAACCCATGACATAATCATCATTTATTGTTGGTTGAAGGGTCTATTCTTGTTGGTTAAATACCCATATGTATATATATATATACGTATATAAGCTATATCGTTCATTTATTGCTGATTCAACAAGACCTTCTTGACTTCTTGACTCAATCCTCATATATAACACATCTCCCCATATACTGGTGATTCAACAGCCTATTCTTGTTGGTGAAGAATCCCCTTTATCTGTCAGTCCTCTCTCCCAACGGTTACCGAATCTCTGCCAAGTAACCAAAGCTCGGTGTGTCGGACCGAGCCGTAGTCTCTCAAAACTGGCAGGGGCTTACTGTTGCTCCTGGACGCTTCCATGGGCATCTCTCTATCCTGGAAGTCTATCACATTTTATGGGGATGGGTCAAAACCTTGTGGTGACCTTCAAAAATAGAAGGTAAATGGATGTTCATCCCTCCAAAAATATGGAATTTAGCGGTATTGATCCATAGCATTCCATAGCAATGTCCCAACATGTGGATTTGTTTGGAAGGATATGAATGGACCAGTATTTACCGAAAGATGGTCAAAACAAATTGATTCCTTAGTACCAAGGTTTACAATCTTTCGAGTTTACCATGGTTTACCATGGTTTTACCATGGTTTTACCATGGTTTACCATCAAGGTTTACCATCAAGGTTTACCATCAAGAAAGATGGTTTACTCAGCAAGAAAACCTTGGACGAGTCCCTGGAGTCCCTGGAAGTCGTGTGGATCCCATCGGGCACCGGCCCGGCCCCCTCTGTTTCAAATGATATTATATCATATCATATTGTAATATATTATATTATATACGTATATACAGATATATACTTTGTGTATGTATATGTTACTGTACATACTAGGGTTTGTCTGAAAATAGGGTGCCCCTATACCCCATGGTTCATCATCATGTTCCCCATTATAATACCGTTTTTGGGATCGCCGGAAAGTCCTGGGTGGGGTACTGGAGCAACTGCTGCTGCCGGAGGGGCTCAACGTCGATTCGCTCTGAGAAACATGGAGTCCCTGCAAAGAAGGCTGCACGAAGAAAACGAAGGCGGTTCGGAATTTGAGCACTTTCTGTCTCTGGGAATTTAAACGTATTTTTTCTGGTTGGTGGTTTCAACCCCTCTGAAAAATATTAGTCAAATTGGAATAATTATTCCCAATATATTATAAACATAACAAAATGGTCCAAACCACCAACCAGTTATTTTTGAAATGCATCTAGTTTTTGTTGGTGGAGAGGATGCATGACTTGGTCTGATTTTTGCAGTGGCATTTACCCCTATTTTTGGATAGCTAAGTTGGTGAACAACTAGGCAAACGCTGTGGGATTTGTAGTGGATGTATTTACTAAACCACCTAGCAGTACTTGTCTAAGTCAAACATCTCCATGTTAGGATGTTAGGGGATGCTCAAGTTCCACAGGAAAGTCAACTACCCCCATTTTTTGGGAGATGTCTCGGGGGATTCACATTGACCATCAGCAACGGGTGGTTGATTATTGGGTATACCCCTACTTGGGCTGATCCCACCTTACATCTGGAGGCTATAAATGGGCGCCTTAGCTCAGCTCCCCCAAGATGGCCAAGGAAGCCCATATGAAGCATGAACTGTCCACCAAATTATACCAACCATCATGGCAATGACACATAATGAAACGACTCCAACACCACGAACTCACTTAATATACCGACTGAGTCAATAAGGCATTTATCCCACAGCGGTGCCAGAATATGTTCATAAGTTGCTAAGTATTCTATCAATATCCGCAATATCCCAGAGAATTTACCATAATCCCATGTATCATACCAAAAATTATAATTACCATAGTTTCTCATCTACAAATATATATATATATATATCTACAAAACTATACCATAGTTTCTCATCCATCCTAAAATTATACCATAATCCCATCTATATAAATATATATATATACACATCAATGTCCCCTAGAAATAGGGGATGTTCCATAGTTTCTCATGATTTTCCCGGGGATCTCCGAACGCGCCTTGCAGAGGTGGAGCATGGCATAGGACTGCGTCCAGCCATGGCAACTCTCAGACCTGGGCGTTTTTGTCATAGCACATATGGAAACTCTAGTGGTTTATATTGTATAATGGTATCTATCTATCTATCTATCTATCTATCTATCTATCCATCGATCGATCCATCGATCGATCGATCTATCTATCCATCTACCTATCTATCCATCTATCTATCTATCTATCGATCGAGCTATCGATCTATCGATCTATCGAGATCTATCGATCTATCGATCCAACGATCTATCGATCTATCGATCCAACGACCCATCGATCAATAGATCGATCTATCGATCTATCAATCTATCTATCGATCTGTCGATCTATCGATCGACCTATCTATCGATCTGTCGATCGATCGATCTATCTATCCATCTATCCATCGATCTATCTATCAACCTATCTACCTATCTACCTACCTATCTACCTACCTATCTATCTATCGATCTATCCATCTATTGTTCTATCGATCTATCTATCCATCTATCTATCTATCGATCTGTAGATCTATCGATCTATCTATCCATCTATCCATTTATCTATTACTATCTATCTATCTACCTATCTACCTATACCTATCTACCTACCTATCTACCTACCTATCTATCTATCGATCGATCCATCTATCGATCGATCCATCTATCGATCTATCGATCTATCTATCCATCTATCTATCTATCTATCTATCTTCCTTTCTATCTATCTATCTATCTACCTATCTATCTATCTATCTATCTATCTATCTATCATTCATCTATCGATCTATCGATCTATCGATCTATCGATCTATCGATCTATCGATCTATCGATCTATCGATCTATCGATCTATCGATCCATCGATCCATCGATCCATCGATCCAACGATCTATCGATCTATCGATCCAACGATCCATCGATCGATAGATCGATCTATCGATCTATCAATCTACCTCTGACAAAATTCTAGCTAATAGTTAATTTTGTTTTTTAAGTTAAAAAATTGACTATTAGTTAATTTTAACATAAATTAACTTAAGTTCGTTTACTTAAAAGTACCTTAAGAAAAGCATCAAAAAACAATATAAAATGACAAGTTTTTCTTTGAAAAATAAAGGAAATCCAATAAGGTTGTGCCAAAGTGTTGTACATTTATTGTATGAAATTGTGTCTCAGAACGGAGAAGGGCTGAAAACATGTTCATTGTTTCTTCTAGCAAAGCTGGCCAAACACAGTTGCTGTCCTTCCCACCAACCTGGCTAAGTGCCTCATGCCATGGAAACATGTTCTGCAGAAATTGAATTTCGATTTGGTTGTCTTACTTAGTATCTGGCCTTGCGCTGTTCCTTAGAGGACTTGAATGTTACTTAGTGAACTTTGAGACCCTTGGAATGTGACTTAAAAAACTCATATGTTACTTGGGAAAATGACTGAGGCACTTGAGACCCTACCAGCTTGGCATCAGACTTCAACTGGAATCTAAGGTTGCACCCCCCTTGTTCCTTGATTCTTCCAGCTACCACATCGACTTTTTTCTGCATTTTTCACATATTGCTTAAGTGGATGTGCATTGCCACCCTGGCTTTGGCGCCAATTTTTGCTGTCACTTGTGGCCCTCGCAAGCCTTTGCAAGAGGCTTTTGCAAGTGTCCTTTGGACTGCCATGTAATCCTCTTGTCTGAAGCACCAAGTCAGCCTCGGGTTGCAGAAGTTGCTGCTCAAAACACTGTGCAGGCAGCCAGCTATGTAATTTGGGAATGGCGCTGAACAGTTTTGTATCCTCTTCACCATAGTGTTGCTCCAAGGAAAGGTGTACTTGAGCCATTGCAAAGCTCCACCTTTTGAAGTTGGAGTAGTCCTGCTCGCACACTGCCAAATTGTCTGCATTGTTTTTCAAAATCTTCTCGGTCAACACATTCATTTTAAGCCATGTCTTATTTGTGAGCAGGGTCTGCTGGGTCCATGAAACTTTGCCATAAATCCAGCATAGGTTCTGCTAAAGCTGCGACTTGAGCTGCTCGACCTTTGAGTTTAGGCCCACCCTTTTTTCTGACAAAAACACTTGTAGCTTCACCTTCAGGGCCCAGAACAGTCGGGAACTCGTCTGAGGAGCTGTTTGTCGCCTCTGAAGCTGTCGGGCTTCTGGCCAGACTGGTAGGACTGCAGGCCACTGTTTCTCCTTCAGTTGCAGAGCCATGTTCTTCTTGTAAACCAGAAGTACCAGCTTGAGCCTCAGCATCTCGGTAAGAAGGTCCAGCCTGAACTTCAGCATCTCCGCAATCAGGGGTAGCCTGAACTGTAGCATCTCCGCAACCAGGTGTAGCCTGAACTGCAGCATCATTTGAAGTTGGGGTAGCCTGCACTGTGGCAGCATCCACCATTGGCCAGGGTGCACTATCTCTGCTCCAGGAGATGCTAGTGCAGTGGTGCCACATCAGCTGCCCTCTCAAAGCTTCTAGACATGCAGCAGCCACTGTGTGTCTTTCAAAACGAAGGAAGGCAGCACCCATTGTAGCGTCAGCAGTTCTTCTTTGAATTTGGATCTGCTGAACCTCTAAGCCAGTGCGACTCCAGATCCAGTCTCTGACGTCGCTGTGCGCTGCAGCTGCTGGAATGCCTCCTAAAAAGAGGCTGTAATAGCTGCTCTTCGGAGGCATGGCTGGGAGCAGAAGGAGTGAGGTGTGAAGAGCTGACCTGCTGTGACCTGCTGTGACCTGCTGTGACAAAAACACAGTATGGTAAAAGGTGCTTCCAAGTGTGAAAGTGTTGCGTGCGGATGGTCTAGTCAGTTCTCCTGGTGTTGGATATCTGTGTTTTGTTCTCCTCAACCAAAACATTTTGATAGCGTTGCTACTTTCTGAGAAGCTTCTCAGCTGAATGTGATTCAAAGAATTGAGATCCACTGCCTTGCTTTTTTTCTCGCAGTTGTGACACACAGCAGCTAAAATGTTACTTAGGCAAGCTGAAATGTTACTTAGGAGCAGTGGTTGGGTCTTTGGACTGTGTTTTCAACGAGCGACCTGCTATCTAGTGATCTAGTGACCTCCAAAAATTGTTGCTTACTACAACTGGAATGTTACTTAGACAGGCGACCTGCTTCCTAGTGACCTCCAAAAATGTTACTTAATGCAGCTGGCATGTTACTTAGACAGGCGAACCTGCTTCCTAGTGACCTCCAAAAATGTTACTTAGTGCAACTGGAATGTTACTTAGACAGGGACCCCAAGCCCTGGCCAAGCAGCATTTTTTCTATCACACAGAGTCCTTTGCTCATTGGCAAGGGTTCCTCAGAGGAATGCCTCCAACACTTGTTGCACCAGTTTGTGCCATTTGGGCCTGGACCACTTCAAGCTTCTCCTCATACGAAAACGGCAGCATGTCCAGGTGGTCCTTTGCGCTGCTCCAGTCTGACCAACCACTGCTCCACCTGGTTACATGCCACAGCTGGCAATGGTAGCTCTCCCAGCCACAGCGCACCACCCTGCCCTTCCAATCTGCATACTCAGGGAAGCTTTTTGGAGCCATGCAACCAAAGGGAAGTCAAGTCTGAGCAGCTTTGAGTGGCAACAAAAAAAAGGTTCAGTGTCAACAGTATAGTGAGCCAACTTCTTGGAATTATACTATTTAGCCAACTTGAATGCTACTTAGCTCCTGCAACCTACTTACCTGACAACTTTAAACCAGTCTACAAAAGAAACTTGCTTCAATGTGACTTAATCAACTAGAATGCTGGACTGCTGGTGCTCCACCCACACTCAAGCTCTGTTTTTCCTTCCCTTCTCGTCTCTAATCCACATCGACAGCAGGCTCCTTCAGAATGCCAGAGTCGATTTCTTGGGCCACTTTGAGCCAAGCAGCCCTAGCCATCTTCTTGCAAGTGCTTGGACTGTAGCCCATTCCCTTATACTTCGCCTTCTCACTGTTGTAAGCTGAAGAAGTTTTGCGGTGCCTGAAGGTGCACTTGAGAGCTGTTCCACCAGTCTCTGAGCTCTTGTTCTTTCTGCTGCCATCCTCCTTCTTGGCACACTTCTGAGCTGCAGGCTTCTTCAGCACAGTCTGTTTTACCTTTTTTTTGGTTTGCAACCTGCTGCACTCACAAGAGCTTGGTCTATGGTCTCCAAATCATCCTCTGAAAGCAAAGCTTCTTCAGGCACAGGTGCTGCCTCCTTCTTCTGTTTTTTCTTTTTAGGGTTCAAGTCGGCACCCTGCTTCTTTTTTTCTTTTCCTGAACTGGGGACATATCCAAACCCTCTTCACTTTCTGGAAAAATGCGCATTTTCCCTGCCTTTCTGTTTGTGCTTTGTCTGGCTGAAGAAGAAGAGGCTGCAGTGGAAAAGGCAAGGACTCCAACTGGTGCTGGGGAAGGACGCTCCACTGCAACCATTGGCAACTTCTGTTCCATGACGCTTTCATCGCTATCTTTCTTTTCCTCAATTCTTGCAAAAATACCACCTGCACTGCTTCCTGCCTTCTTTTCCCTCGGGTCAGCCACCAAGACTCCACTGGGTGGTGGAGCAGGTGGTTCTGTTCCAGCAAAAAGTCCAGCCAGGTCAGCTGGGTTGTCATCTTCTTCTGCCAGGTGCATGATCTCCAAGACTTGGTCAATCGCTTGTTGTTCAGCTTCTGAAGCTTTCCTCATACACCTGTAGTACTCCTCCTTCTTCTGCTTCACCGACCGAAATTGATGCAACAAGCATCTGATCCTGTAGTCGCACTTGTCAGCGAAGACCTCCTCGTGGTACTTGCTGAAATTGATCTTCTTCTCGTAGTGCAGCTTCAAGATGGCCACCTTCAACTTGGAGCTGAGCAGAAGCCCATTGGGCGCCAGAGATGCAAACCTGTACATCAAATCTGCACATTGAGCCATCCAGGGGGATTGGGTCCTTTTTTCCACGAGAAAAAAGCATTTTGGCCATTTGGGTGAGAGAGCTTCTGCCACAGGTCCCAGTTCTGGCTGTGGGCAAGGTCAGCTCTCAGGGCTTTCATCAGATCGCCAACACCCAGAGTTGGGTCAGGCACACATCTGGCCTTCCTAGTTGGCACCATCATCATGGCTTCAGCACAAAGGAAATAAACTTTTGAAAACAAATTGGTTTTGCGATGAAAAACATGTCTCCAGTGATAACCTGAGCAACAACCTGGAGCAACATGACTCATTCATGAGGTATGTTCTTCAAAGAACCTTCTACACCAATGATGTGTCTACATATTCAAACAAAAAAGCAAAACAACTTTCACCTCGAGCCCGGAAAAATCACAGGGACAGATGCAAAAAAATCAAACAATTGCTCCAGCAAAACCATGTTTGTCTTCCACACATGTGACTTAGTCGAAAAAGATGCATGTGACTTAGTCGAAAAAGATGCATGTGACTTAGGATTAACAAAAATCAAACACCAAGCAAACTGTTACCTGGGAAATGAAAAATGGAACTTATTATTTTTTTGAAAAAAAATAAAAATTATTCACATGTTCTCTTCAAGAAGTAAAAAAGAACGAGCTAAAAACCGTAAAAAAAAAGTTAATTCCAGAATTAACTTAAGTCAATTTTGAAAATGACTAATAGTTAGGATTTTGACTTTTAACTATTATTAGTTAGAATTTTGTCTTAACTCATCTTAGAGGCTATCGATCTGTCGATCTATCGATCGATCTATCTATCGATCTGTCGATCTATCCATCTATCTATCTATCTATCTATCTATATATCTACCTATCTACCTATCTACCTACCTATCTACCTACCTATCTACCTACCTATCGATCTAACGATCTATCCATCTATCGATCTATCTATCCATCTATCTATCTATCTATCTACCTATCTATCTATCTATCTATCTATCTATCTTTTGATCTATCCTATATGTCTACCTATCTACCTGTCTATCTATCTACCTACCTGTCTATCGGTCTATCGGTCCATCTATCTATCTGTCTATCTGTCTATCTGTCTATCTTTCTATCTATCTTGCTATCTATCTATCTATCTGTCTATCTATCTATCTATCTATCTTTCTATCTATCTATATATCTATCTATCTATCTATCTATCTATCCATCGATAGATCCATCGATCGATCGATCTATCTATCCATCCATCTATCTATCTATCTATCTATCTATCCTATCGGTCTATCTATCTATCTATCTACCTACATACCTATCTATTTATCTATCTATCTATCTATCTACCTACATACCTATCTATTTATCTATCTATCTATCTATCTATCTATAGTTATCCTGAAGTAATTGATATAGATATATATAATAGGATTATCGGGAAATGATGTGTATATAGATTATTATAGATCTACAGTGTTGATGGTTTTATCAATTGACGGGAGTTAATGGTTATAAGAGGATTTCACTTAGACTTAACTCGCAAATACGGAAGTATAACGACATATATATATATATATACAATTATATACACCATCATATTCCCACAATTATCCGCAATAACTCACCTTTTTTTTGGTTACATCCCATTAACCACCCCATTTAGGCCCTCGTAGATAGGTAAGTTTGTTTGTAACTCCAATAGCTATGGTTTATCGCACTTTTAACTGTAGTTAATGGGGTTTTAAAAGCAACTTATCACCGGAGGGGCCACATTGCATAGTTTGTAACGGGAATTAGCTTAACTAGCACATATGAACATATAATGGTATACATATATATATATATATATTATACATAATCA